TGCATCCCACCTCCTATTCGGCGTTTTGATGCTTTTACTGCTTTAGTGCTGGCATTATATTTGTTGTTGTGATGCTGCTTTTGCTTTTGTTATTGCCTTTGTGGTTGGCTGCCATTGTTACTGGCTTTGACGTTGACTCCTGCCACGTTGTTGATGCCATTATTGTCGTAGCTTTCAAGTGGTTGCATGCGTTGATGTTGACATGCATTTTGTTGTTGTTGTACATACATACATATGCAGTTGTTTGCTGCTGGCAGTGCATTGTGTTGAACTTTTTTTTTAAACTAAGTTATATACATACATATCATGTACCTTTAGCTTTTGTAAGTATGTATGCATTTGTTTGCCAACATTGTATTCGCAATGACATTGCCTCAGTTCGCATCCTGCATTCCTGCTGATATTGCTCTCGCTCGCTGTCAACGCCACTTCCAATTGCTGCTGACATCACTGGCATCTTTCGCGCAGTATTCATTAAAGGGCTTGTAATTTTTATGTTCTCACTCACCCTGCAAGCCTTGTAGGTGGCAATGTTCACGCTCGTGTCTTTTATTGACTTGCATACAAACGTGAATTTTTTATAGCTACTCCATTTTTATTAGCGGCACGCGGAATAAAACAAGTCCAATATGTTTTTTTTTCAACAAATTTAACTGAGACTTGCATTGCCGGACTAGTCTGGGAGTAGTTGGAGGGCTCGTCAGTGCCTTGAGCTCAGCATTCTCGACTACGTGGTATATGGGGCCGATGATTGCAAATACCTCGGTTTGAAGCACTCTGTCTGTTTAGGAGCGATCACTTAAAGATTTGACAATGTTTTAAGCCCGGGAACTCCACATTGGAGTATCTTCTCAGGAGCGCAATGGTTACGTACCATCCTGTGGCACTTAGATGTATGTTACCAGAAATTTCCGTCTCGCGAAACGTAGATGCAAGGTATGAGGTTAAGTGTGGCAGAGAATCAAAAGCAGTGCAAGGCTTCGTAGAACAGGGTCCAGTACAGCACAGGGCGGCTAATCTTTTGCAGTGTGGCAAGCAAATTTCTGCTTCATCATATCACTGCTGCAAAACTGATAATGGGTCTGTTCATAGAGATGTACGAAGTTGATCCAGAGGATATCCGTTGGTGAAAGACCCCACGCTTTCTTAAAGACCTTTTTACACTGTAAAAATTCCTCTCAGGCTTTGTAGATCTTATGCTCAACATCGTAATTACGATCGGATACCTAACTTCGGAAGAAATCTTGATTATGACTCCTGAACAGTAAATTAAACCATCAAAACTTTTCCTTCTAAAGAAAGAGAACAGCACTAGTTTTAGCTAGGTGAGCAGGAAGCCCTCTCATTACACCAAGTGAGGAACGGAGAGAATTGACCTCCTTCTTAATGATTCGCTGCGCAAGCAGTGAACGGATCCATTAGCTAGCTCTGCCACTATTTCGTGGCTTAGTGCCGAGCTACAAATGCTAAAGAAAAACTCGCACATAGTACCAAAAAAATCGCTAATAGACATTTTATTTTATTATCAATGCTACAAAAGAAAAAAAAAAAGAAAAAAATAGACGAATTTTTTTTGTTAAAATAATATAAGTCAGAAGGAAATTATGTCCCAGTGGTTGCTAATGATATCTTCGACCATTTTTCATTATGCCCTTTTGATTTCAAAATCAAGAATTCTATACCATTTCTACGAAAAATTGTTTTTTCCCATATAAAATACATGGAAAACTTTGAGCGCTTTTAGCGACCTCTAAATATTTATTTTTTTTTTTTTATTCAAAGTAAGAAAACAGGAGTATGATTTTTTCGGTATACATGTGAGAGCATTAAAATTGTGGCTTTACTTTTTTTGGCGATACGAATTAGCGAGGAATGGTGAGACTATCAAATCCTTCCGGGAGAAGGGCACGACAGGTATTTAAATGGCCGTCTTTATTAAATTTGTTAAAAATCGTGTCACTCTGGTGGTCAGTCAATGCTGGTATAGGAAGGTACGCTCTTGTTGCTCTTTAATTGGCTTACACGCCATGGGACAAGAGGTGGGTACAAAGGCCCATTACCGTAGTTGCAAGAACATAAAATAAAATTATGTGTCATACCTTTTTTACCACTATCCGGATTTATACTAAAAAATTCAAAAATTATTTTCATAGTATTGTGTTAGCTAAAAACTTAACAGATACATAGCTAATGGAAAAAGGTTATCAAACTGAGAAATAACTTACCAAATTCGATACATAAATACACTGACACTGCGTACTTCAACGAAATATGCTTTTCTCAACATATGATTTGGTTGTAATTACCAATTCATATGTTGAGAGAAATATATTTGGCGCACTTTTTCCTGAGCGTAAAAATATTACCACTTTTGGTAAAAAATTCGTAAATTCGCTTCAATGCCAACAAGGCGATATTTTTTTTATAGAAAATAAAACGCCACTAATTCCTCTGCGAAAGAGCAAAAACCGTCGTAAGATTATTTCATACGCTCACAATTTTCTACTACATCACTTCATCGCACTAATTCCACATGACCAATTTCATTCCATTAGCGGCTTCTGTGTTGCAAACTTTTAAGTAATAATCACTTAATGTTAACGAATTTCGCACAACAACTCCGACAAATCCTTATGCGATTGCTGCTGACATTCTTGCCAATAGCTCTTGTTGTTGTCTCATCATCTTTTTTCTTATTGTACATTAGATTGTTGGTGCTCTTGTCTGCCTACAGCTGTCGTACATTGTCAATACTTATGTTGTACGTTTCTATGTGTACATATCGCTCTTCAGTTTTATGAAGACATCTTGAATTGTCTGTCCCATTCATTCAACTACAATGCATGCTTGCCTTTTGTGCTTACGTGCGAATAAATAAGTTTATGTACGAGTATTTGCAGATTGATGTTTACACTTGTACTCATCCTTTAGGCAGCAGTTTTCTGCTTGAAGGAAATTTCCAAAAAACTGCATTATATTTATAAATACATATTTACATACATGTGTGCATAGGTGCGAATAAACATTTGCATGCATATCCTTGCGAAGAGAAAGTGATATACATTCATTTACTTACTTATATATGTAGGTAGTGGTAGTGAGAGCAGGGAGGTTGAAAGTATGTTTTAATGTGTGTATGTATATACATACATACATACGTAATTATGCACAGCAGTCTCGTGTGCATTTGTAATTAAAATGCAAATAAGTAAGCGTCCAGGCAAATTGAATTTTCTTTACTATCTTTGCTCACTCGAGTTAATCGCAACGCGAAAGATGAGAAAATTCCGAATGCGCAAGAAAAGCGCAAAACTATTCACTTTTTGTAAATGCGAATTTCAAAATGGTCAAATTTTCCTTTTGAATGATATAATGTTAATCATAATTATACGATACATATATGGGATCTAGATTCTATGAAATGAACTATTGAAAATAACTTCATTATACCGCTTTAACCACTTACATAATAATGAACACCTTCGACTTCTTCAAACATTTTTTCTGTAGAAGTACGTAACATTTTTGGCTATTTAAGTAAACAGAGAAACTTTGCTTCAAATTTCTTTTTATATACAGAAACCATTTTATGAAAAAATTGTACGCTCTGAAAATTTTTAACTACACTAGCTGTATGTAATAAATTTTTTTGGTAACTGCATTTTTGAAATGACAAAAAAAAACACGCCGAAAAAACTAAACTTAACTTTGAGTCGTAGATAATGAATCTGTATTCTATTTTTCAAGATAAGTTCACTTTTTCCAAGATTCATTTTTATGAAAAGGATTAATTTAATTTGTCCTTTGACAAAAAAAAAAAAAAATCAGCTGCTAAAGAAGAAAATCTCCGAATAAATAAAAAAAGTTATAACAGCTATTTCCCTGCTGAAAGTCTAGAAAAAAGAAATCTGATGAGGAGAGATGTGGTGATCTCCAAAAATCTCATTATTACGATTCCGTTTGAAAAGATTTTTAAATATTTTTATGCAGGTTTTTTTAAGCCTAATCTGTTTTGTCATCTGAGGAGACTTTTTTCAAAAAGTTCTTTAAGAAACTATTTTTCTTTTTTCAAATCAGTCCAGCTCACGTAAATCTTAATATTTTTCCGAAATATTTTGTTGGACATCTTAAAATATAATAGATTTTGTAATCACGGCGGAAAAACTGCAACTTTTTTTTAGTGATGCGGTCTAATGTACATACATACTTACATATATAGTGATCGAATAAAACATAGCCGGACCAAGTTTGGACAACTTTAAAAATATTATTTTATTATTAATTAATTATGGTTATTTTTTTTTTTAAATATAGTTCATTCTTAAACAAAATCCGTGTAAATCCAAGTTTAAAGCTTTGTGCAATATTTGAAAAAACTTAAACAAGCTTTCGTAAAAATGTCAAACTTTTTTAATTGGATTTCCTTGAAAGATTCTGAGTATGCAGTTTTATAATAACACACTTTTTTCATCCCATTTGTTTCCATATAATGAATCACTTCTTCGACAAAAAAAATTCTTAAATATCAATTTTTAGCCATTTGAAACTTGCACTTTATTCTAATACAATAGGCTACAAAACAGAATACACAGAATCTTTCTAGGAAATCTAATTAAAAAACCCGAAATTTTTACGAAAGATTGTTAAATTATTTTCTAAATATTGGACTAAGTTTGAAACTTGGATTTGCCGATTTTCCCGGGTTTTGTTAACGAATGAACTATATATTTATACAAAAAAAAATACTCAAAATTAAATAACAACAAAATAAAATATTTTAAAACTTATTAAAATGTGGTGCGGCTATAATTTTTTCGACCTTTGTATGTCGGGTATATTAAGTTTTTTTACTCGATTTGTATTTGCATATCATAAAAGAACAAGTTTACATACTTATTTAATTAATGACAAAAATTCATGCTAAAATATAATAGCATTAATATTTGTTCTCTTTGGCTCAACAAATTTTAAAAACGCTTATGTTTTTTTTTTTTAATTCCAGGTGAGAACTGATTCTACTATACATACTAATGCTGATATCACTATGTAAGTACTATGATTATGAACAGGACCAATGGAAAAAAGTGGAATCATTTGTTTCACCTACGCCTTTTCGACGATGTCCGTATTTTTTCGATAATAATAGCGAAATCCCCCATTTAATTGGGCATCAAATTGAATTTTTGTTTGTTTAATTATTTATTATTATTTAAAGGCTTATATGAAAAAAATAATTCGTAGTCTTAACGAGATGCAGGAAAAAAGAGAAAGGAAAGACGCAAAGTGCTACTAAGGAGGAGATGAAATCAAATTTCTCCAGGCTTAATCTTAGCAGAAAAACGGCCTCAATCTTCTCCATAGGTAGTTGAGTCCATTTGAATATGGATTTTGGGGGTGCTGGGCTATCCAGAGAAGTTAAATCACATGACCTCGGTAACCCAAATCATCCCATCGGTTATATCTTATGCGTTGTTGGCTGACCATTAGGGTGGTCCAGAATAAGTAAAGTCGGAATTTTAAGGCTCTCTCTCCCCTAGGATTGTTCTATATCGAAAAATAATGTACCCATATTTTTAATTTTGAAATCAAAAAATATTTAGAGGTCCCTCAAAGCGCTCAAAGTTTTCAATGTATTTTATATGAAAATAAAAAACACTTCGTGAAAATGGTATGGAATTCTTGAAAATTAATACTTTCGATCTGAACTCTGGTTCTCTCCCAATTGTTTATTTAACCATTTTTTAATACTAAAGAGTTTTTATTTATTCCCCCATTGCATTTTCTAGGGGTTTTGGCGGACCTATAAAATATAGTTACTATGAAAAAATGGTAAAAAAAATTATTGGGTATTATTACTTGGAATCTCCTGAAGAGAAACAGAGTTTCCGGTCGAAAAATATTGATTTTCAAGAATTCTTACCATTTCTACGAAAAGTGTTTTTTCCCATATAAAATACATGAAAACTTTTCCCGAGTTCTGAGTGGGGGTGTGTATGCTACTGTTATAATTTAAACCGGGCTTTAAGTGAAAACTTATGAATTTCCAAGAAATATAGTGTGTAGAATAATTTTCAAATAAAAAAAAAAATGTTTTGGTATTTTTTTCTACTTCCTAATTTGGTGTTATCAAACAATTCTCAGAACACTTTACTATATTAGTCCAAATATGCCACCCTGTGTCGCAATTGTGCTATAAATCTTAATGCTGTGCCAACGAAAACTAATTTCCAAGTCAAATGTGGCAAGCAGACAGACATACACTCCTACATATGTCACCAAAAAATAAATCACAATTTATAGTCGAACACAACATTTGATGGCGGCAACACGCTACAATTTAAAATGTTCAAAAAAAATACACAAATGAAATAAAGGTCAACCGCTTGTTAAAACCAACCGGAAAATTTTTTGTTTGCTCTACACTTTGCAATATTTGTGTGCAGCAGTCAAAAGGACAAATAGGGCTCTGACGCCTAAAATGCTGCTCTAAATCTTGTACATATACATATGTACATATCCATGTCGGTAATTTGTATTGCAAACGCCTGCAGGCAGAGCTCGTTAAGCAAACGAATTGGCATTTTGTGGTCGTGGCGCACTGACACAAACCGAAATTTTGAATGCGTCTAAGCCAGTCAAGGACAAGTTTGAGAGTAACACATGCAGCGAAATACATTGGAAGGGTGAAAGAGACTTTGTCCATAATGAAGATACCAAATGTTTGATTGTTTGTTCAAAGTGAATAATGAGCAGCGTAAAGCCCGAAGAAACAGCAGCAGCAGTGCCAAGGCTGGGTGAATGAGTGTTGTAGGGCTTTGTGTCTCTTCGTGGAACAACTCTAAGAAAGCCCGTAAGCCGCAGTGCAACTGCAATGAACGTGACTTGTAATTTAAACACGTAAGTATGACTCGTATGATTCGTACGTGCAAAGCAGTAGACTGACAATGCAAGTAGCAATAATTTCTATATACGTAATACAGGCGCCTGAAATGTCCTTTTGTGGCTTTAATGGATTAGCTTGGTAGCCAATACAAAGTTTTGAAATGCTTTGCGCTCTATTCTCCTCACTCCGTAGATAAAAACACAAAACAAAGAGAAAAAAAAACATATTTTATAGATTATGTTTAAAGGTACTAAATATACAATACATACATACAATGTAGTATGTGCAAGCATAAGCATTTTCTTCTAGTCTAATTTTTTGTGCACTTACCAGCGTTTATTTACTACGTTCAGGTCACCAATCGATCATGCTTTTATAAAACCGTCATTTACCCACTAAGTCGGCACTTGACATATTTTTCATAATTGGCCTGTCATCCATTTTGTTTACTTAGGTAACGTTTTATTTTTCTTCTTCCTAGTTAAAGAGTAAACATGTACTTATGTATTCTAATTTAATTGTCGAAATGTTTTGCAGTCTCATCACGCTTCAGTGTGCAAACACTCATGGAAAAACTTTCTCTGTTGACTGAGCATTAGCTTGAATGTTACTCATACGCACCGGGCGCCTCACAATAGTGTCACGTATTTTTCGGCTTGCTGTTGGCGCCGCAAGCTAGAGATGGGCGCGGGATATCGGGGCTATCAGGGGCCGTCATATTCAGTTGTTTAGCTAAAACACTGAAAAAAAAGTTTAGAAGTTTGGTACTTGCACAATATTATACTAAAATTAAATGGGCAATAAATCTGCATACCCGAATTTTTTCAAGAAATTCATTTTAAAATTTTGGGATTTTTTTCTACTATTTTTTCTAATTTGATAAGCTTTAATAAATCTTTAAACTTCGAGTTGCTCAATTTTCGTGTTGGTATAAATTATAGTTTTGTAAAAAAAAAAAATAAAAGTAAAAAAAAGAATAAATGTTCGAGACTTTTTAGAAGTAGTGTCCCTAATTATGTGAGTAACACTGTATGTTTTTTCGGCATGCTTCCTCAACAACTGCTGCGCCCGATGGATACGTGTTCGACTTCCAACTTGTTGGTAACGGGTTCAAACCCTGCGACACGGAAGCTGCTTTTATTTAAAAATTTTAATTTAATATTAGCTGAATGTTTCTCAAAATAAAATGAGCGAAACGAAAATATTGTGGGTGTTCACACTTACCTGGTTCAACTGTGAAATTTACAGGTGGGTTATAAATCGATTGTTATTATATAGTTTGCTGACTCTGGGTTTTCCGACGAAGCAAATTTTTCCTGCTTCAACTTGTAGAGTAGAGACTGGTTATTTATTTTGTTTGATCAAAGAAGCAAATCGGAATTAAAAACGACTCATTACTGGTAAATTTTATTAGCAATTTTTTTATTTATATAACTAAATTTCGGAAAAATTGCCAGCTATGAGTTGTCAATGTTTGACCATGGAGATGTTTTTTTTTGATTTCTTTATACTGTGCTGAGTCTTAAACAACATTAAACTGTTGACTTATCAAATAAAACCATACAAAACGTTTTGACTGACCCGGTGTGCTTCAAACTCGCATTTCTATTTCCAGGCTTCTCTTTGTTACTATAATATAACCAGAGTGAATATCCCTTACATTCGCCGAAGAGAATCACATTTCAAGATACATGATACCATGAATTTGCTGATGCTCGTCACACTAGACATTCCTTTCGCTTGCGCACTGGATTTCTACATTTGATATTGTCGTAAGCATTAAAGCGCTCTCCAGAAAGGTCTGACTGCTTTTACCTACATAAATAGTGCTTGGAGGGTGCTGTGTCTGGTAAATGAGGCCCTCAAAGTAGTTTTTTACTGGTAAAGCTTAGTATCGACCTCTAAAGAAAAGTAAAAACTCCATGTAAAAAAAACACGCTGAAGAAATGGCGAAGAATTTTTCTTGTATCAAATTTCATTACAGCAGTGCGGAGTTCTTATGCTATGCTTTCTAGTACGGTCTTCTAAAGTGTTTTGTGAAGCATAAAGTACAAGGCAATCCATGTTTGCAACAGAAACATATTCCTGACGCAAAAGGCAAAATGACAGGCTGTGAAATATCAGATGTCAAAAGTCCTTGAATAGTTACTACTAAATATTCACACAAACAAAATGATGGCAATTTTTTTCTTTAACCTTTCCTTAGGAGCTGGACCATAAGCTTCAAGCAAAATGTCTGGGCGGAAAATGCATTAATTGTCGTCGCCGATGATATCAGATGGTTTCAGCAAGTCGTCATATACTAACATTTTCACATCCCGGCTAATTCATGCTTTTGAGTGAAGGATTTTAAAATTATGTACGTAATTTTCGATTGCCGCATAAAATGCAACCTTTTCAAGTTAAGTAAAGTAACTTTAAAAAACATGTACTAAACGTTTGCCTTTGCTTTAAGTGGTATCCTGCCTCCAGAGGTTGTAGGATCTAATTCTTAACATTTCTAAGGATACACAGCTGAAAGCAGCGGGACTTCGAGTAGGCACTCGACAGTTTCGTGGCGCTCCAGCTACTTGCCGAAAACTTCGAAGCGCATTTTCTACACTTTTAATTTTTACCGCTTCGTTTAACTAGTGGTTGTGATGACAACAAATTCAAACATCGTATTGAAATGGTTGAAAGCTTGTTCTCTTCAGTATTAAATTGCCTTCTGTTTTTTTTTTTTGGTATTATGAACAAAACATTTTACACGATTTCTACAGCAAATTGAAGTCAATTTTTTCTGGCGGGAATTTCATATTTCATTATAAAAAAGTTATTCCGTACTCTAAAAATTTGAACAAAAACACCATAAAAAGTGGGTGAGCTCAGTCCGTTTTCCTATTAAAAAAATAAAAAATAAATAAATAAATAAAAAATACCGAAAAACTACTCAATTGCGGCCTCCTAAAACAGAGCGCCCCATTGAAACGAAGTTTAACACCCAAAATACAACTTAAGATTTACCTCAAAGGGATCTAATTACGCTGCATTATCCTATAGACATTTAACAATCATACCAAAATTTGTACTAATGAGACTCGTGTATGTTAGCTTGTTACCTCAAGATACACTCCCCTGAGGCCAAAATCGCGGTAAACGCCTTTGCAAAAAAAAAAAAATATAT